ATGGTGGCAATAGTTACATATACCTTTTGTCCCTCAAAGGAAGGATAAAAGAGAGAAAGCCTGGGAAAAATCATTAAATGTTAAGTGATCTTCTCAGTGTGATGCAATGATTATAGATGATTATTTTTGTCCTTCCTAAAAATTCTCCAATGTAGTTTTATGATCAAGTTTTAGTGTAGCTTAACTGAGTTATTAAGAGCTGTATCTTGGAGAAGATAAAAGGTTGCTGGTTTTGTGTTTCTCATGAAAGTAGTATTATAACAGGGTTTTAAAAAATTAACTGTTCTTTAGTAGGGGGTATGTATGAAAACCTCTTATATACATTGATGTGGCAGACATTTTCTCTATATTGCACAATGTTGAATTATAAATTGGTGACATTTCAAAATTCAGCTGAAATGGATTTTGTCCTGGGAGATGTCCTCTTGACAGTGTGCAGCTTTCAGCTCTGGGCTGACTGTTACTGCAGGTCTGGGTACTGGACCATCTCCTGAGTTCAGTTGTCCTTTTGTGTCTATATAGCAGTATCCATGACCACACCAACTCCCACTGCTTTCTGAAGATGCTGCAGGGAAATCTAAAGGAGACATTGTTTGCCTGGCCTGACAAAAAGTCCAACGAGATGATCAAGAAGTCTGAAAGGGTCTTGAGGGAAAACCAGTGTGCCTACATCAACGGTAACATCCAAACCTTTTCCTAAGGGCAAGTGGGAAAAACCTGTAAATCCCATCGGAAATATTGGTTACTTACACGTGTGCAGTAGAACTTGGATCACGAAGTCACTAATTTCAAATGCTTGGAAAAGGACCTGAGAGCAGTGGGTTTTGCTTTTTAAAGTTTTGCATCTGGACTAGAGGCACTTATTGGAAACACATGCTTGTAGATTAGTGCCGACTGAAACGTCATTTACATGCCAAATCTTAGGACAGTTAGAACTGAATATGAATTTATGTATGTAGAGTCTTCTAATGAAGGAGTGAGGCCAAGGTGGAAATAAATAAATAGAACAACAAATTGATGTTTCTCTTTCTCTCACCCTCTCCCTCTCTTTCTCTGTCCCTTCCCCTTCTTCCGTCTCTCTAAAATCAATGAATAAAGAAACAAATTTTAAAAAAAGAAAATGTAAAGCAATGTTCTGGAAGTAGCTATGAATGCTAGCTATTCCCTATTTTTCTAAAATGCATATACTTAAAAGCATATTCTCAAGGGAAACTTTACAAAGCACATTATTCAGCAGTGATTTATAGATCTCTCACTAAGAATTCATTCTTTCCCCTGAATGTGATATGGAAAGCCAAATGCTTTTTATGGGAGGCAGTGATTAACATCTGTATTCTTAAAGGGGATAATAACTTCCCAGAAAGCTTGTTATGCTTATATGAGATCATTTATTCCCATTTACAGATGAAATTCCAACACATAGGGAGATTAAATAACTTGTCCACATTACTCAACTTTTAAATGGCAGCCAGTATTCAAACCTAAGCAATTTGATTCCAAGGGCCATACTCTTATTGGATGCTATTTCACTTACATATAATAAGATATTATAGAGATTTTTCTGGCAAAGCAGGATCTCCTTTAAAGACAGATATTGGCCTTGGTACTGGCTTAAATTTGTTCATTAGTTTCAGAGTACACTTAGAAAGGTCAGATTACAAAGTTGTTCCCCGTTATCTGAGGGGTAAACGTTCTAAGACACCCCCCCACCCCCACCCCCACCCCCGCACTGGATATCTGAACCTGTAGTTAGTACTGAACCCTATATATACTATGTTTCTTTCCCATACCTGGGATTAAGTTTAATTTATAAATAAGGCACAGTAAGAGTAAAAGCAATGATTAATGATAAAGTAGAACAATTATAGCAATATACTGTAATAAAAGTTATGTAAATGTGGCCTCTCTCTGTAAATCTGATAACTAAGATAGCTACTAAGTGACTAAAGGGCAGGGAGCCTATACAGCAGGTTGGACAAAGGGATAATTCACATCTGGGTGGGATGGAGCGGGAGATTTTTATCACACTACTCAGAACAACATATAATTTAAAACTTATGAATTGTTTATTTTTGGAATTTTCCTTTTAATATATTCAGACCATGGTTGACTGCAAGTAACTGAAACTGCAGATAAAGGGGGACTACTGTATGGGAAGTTTTTCTTCTCATTCACATAACACAAGGTGTTAGTTTCTTAGGTAGCAGAAAACTCTTGAGGGTTGCTAAATATATGAGGCACACCAGATTTTCAAGAACAAGTTTGTTGCCCATATAACTCACAGAAAAGCAAAAAAGCTTTCAGAATAATTACTTTCAGCAAGTCACAGAGTCTTTGTGAACCTAGATAGATCTTGAAGAATAGGTAAAGAGTCTACAATGCAAAGAGTTTAGGAGCCAAACAGATACGATAGATGAGTGCTGCAGTCTGGGAATAAGGCTTGGGGACTGATGTGTGCAAGATCATCCTGACTTCTTTTTCCATAGAAGTGGGAAATTCTGATGTTTATATGGGAAATTTTGCCAATTGGTAAAATATTGGGTGGAATAAGCTAAATATTTCTGTAGACTAATTACTCATATGATTAAAAATCACATATTTACAACCTTTTATTATTACAGGTGCAGGAGGAGTGCAGATAGATACTGATCAGTGGGAAGGATGTTTTAAGTACAGGGAAGAGCACGAGAGAAGGCATAGTCACTGCAAAAAATAAAAACTCGTCAGGAATGGTCTACCTGGAGGGAGGAAGGAAGAATGGGCATGGACAGGAGTGGGGGAGAGTAAAGTGAGATCAGGTCCTAGGCCTCTAAGACCAGCTTAAAGTAAGAGCTTGCTTTGGTGAGCAGAATTTGGGGGGGGGGGCGGAATATCTTGATCAATATGGTAGCAGTGTGCAACATAGGGTGTAGGAAAGGGAGAATTGGGGCAAGGAGACCAAGTTACCTATTGTAATAGAAAAAAGATGGACATGGCCAGGATCAAACTGGCATCCATAAGTATCACCAAGTTTAGGATTACTGTGACAGGGTACACCATGGGGCAAAGAAAAAGAGGCATGGACCAAAAATAATAATGCTGGAATTCTTAACAATTGGGATCAGACATGAGCCTCAGGAACTTCTCTAACGGACAGGTAACTAGTTTTTGCAGGGCCTTTGCTTACATATTGTCCAGCATGCATTGGGTGGTGTATGTATTTGCAATTGGAGAAACAAATAATTTGTGTAGGGGCAGTCAGTTCTTAGGAATATTGAACTTTTGTTCAAGATTGTGCTTAAGCCAGTATCTTATGAAAGAAGTAAGCTATAGAATTAAAGAGTTTACGGATCTGAGAATCAGGCCCATTTTTAGAAGTGAGCAAAACTGAGGGTTCTAGAAGTTGTGAGTTGTTTCAGGGTAGTCTAGCCGGGAGTAGAACCTAAGTCCTCTGCTTCCAGGCTTTGCTCTTTATCACGCAACCTCATGGAGCTAGATCATAAAGCATAAGGCCAAATTGGGTGCCTATATTAGCTACACTAATTACACTAAATTCCTTCCTTGACTCATCCTCAAACCCTCTTCTAACTATAAATTTCTTCTCAGCGTAGTTTTTCAAAATCATGTATCTTGTTGTTATTTCTTAATATTAATCTTCTTTGAGACGTCTCCTCCAGGGCCTTTAGACCAGCTTCAATCTGGATTGGTTGATCTCAAGGCCATGGCTCCACTGTCATCCTGGGGTCCCCTCACATCATCCGGGCTTTTCTTTGCTATCTTCTTTTGCTAATCCCCTTGTTTCCTGATCTCATTTCTGCCTCGTTCTTAGTCCAAGCCTTTGTTTTAGTGGAGCATATCCTCCAGTTGCTCTATGAGAAAGCGTCCGGAAAGGAATTTTTTGAGACCTTATATATCTAAAATCTCTATATTCAACCCTTGCAATGTGATTGCTAATTTAGCTGGATATGGAATTCTGACCTGACAATCACATTCTCTCAGAACAATGGAGGTAATGCCGTATCGTTTAGTTTTTGGTCTTAAAAAATTATTATTATTGATTTGAGAGTGAGAGAAACATTGATTTGTTGTTCCACTTATTTATGCATTCATTGGTTGATTCTTGTCTGTACCCTGACCTGGGGATTGAACCTGCAACATTGGCATATCAGAACAGTGCTCTAACCAACTGAGATACCCAGCCAATGCTTTCAGTCTTCTTGTTGAAAATCTACTGTCATTCTGATTCTTGAATCTTTCTATGAAACCTATTTTTCCTTTCTAGAAACTTTTGAGATATCTTTTGTTATATTTTCTCTGTCTCCAATATTATAGTGACATATACCATGTTGAATGAATTTCATTCATTGTGCTGAGTACTCAGTGGGTTCTTTCAATCTGGAAATTCATGTCTCTCCCTCCATTCAAGCAAATATTGTATAGTTATTTCTTTGACTTATTTTTTTTTTGCTCTGTTTATGAAATTCCCATTGCTCAGATATTAAACCTCCTCTTGATTTTCTTTATCTTTCTTTCCTATTTTCTATCTTTGTTATTTTGTTCTGTGAGTCTTCCTCAGCTTCCTTAGTTTTTCTTCCAACCTTTCTATTCAGGTTTTTATTTCTAAAAGCTGTTTTTATTCTCTAGTCCTTTTATAGTATTTTGTCTTATCTCTCTAAGGATATTAATGATAAGTTTGTTTTTAAAGCCTTCTCTTGAATTATGTCTGTTTCCAGCTGCTCTTTTTAGGTTGCTCTGGCCTCTGTGTTTCATACTAGGGGACTTGCTCAAATGTCTGGTGACCTTGGCTGTGTGCTAATATTTAAAAACCAGGGACAAAAAATATCCGTTGGTAGCTCTAAACACTGGACTTCGTTCTAGGCTAATCTGGCAGAGCTTTTTTTCTTGATGAACAACCAATGGCACTTGTTCTTTGTTCTTGAGCCAATCAGATTCCCTGAGAAACTGCTTCCCATCTCTTTCCTGGAGAAGAAAATTCCTATCTGGAAGCATTCTGGCAGCTATGTGGTGAAGAAAGTGGGGCTCTCCTCATTCAATATGTAAATTTTCACTTTGGTCACCTTTTTTCACCTGTCCTGAGTTCATCTATTATATTCTTTCTAGAGACCAGATCTCAGACTTCTACCAGAAGGAAGGAGAGGGAGAAGTGGTAAGAGGGATGTAAGACTCTAAACTGAAATAGGCTTTTAACCAGTTCTTGTACTTTTAGCCCCATCTTCTTCCCCGTATTCAGAAATACCCATGTTGCCAATTCCTGAGCTGTTTGGGCGGGGAGGGGGAGTTTCACAATATAAATCACTTTATTTCTTGGCTATCTCCATGTGTGAATGAATATTTAGCTTTCTTTCTCCTGCAAAGCTATTCATCTATAGTTAATGATGAACAACTCAGGTTTGAACTGAACGGGTCCATGTATACCCAGATTTTTTTTTTCATTAAGTACCTGTAATGTTTTCAATTCGAGTTGGAGGTCCACGGATGTGGAGTGCTGACTGTATGCTTTGATGAATGCTATTTTATACAGGGGGGCGGGGGACTAGAGCATCCTCAGATTTTCATATCTACAGGGGGGTCTGGAACCAATTCCCCCATCGATACTTGGGGACAACTTACGTTTTGAGAGAGTCAAAAGTTATATGTGGATTTTTGACTATAGGGTGTGGGAATTGGCACCCCTAATGTCCATGTTGTTCAAGAGTCAACTGTACATTCAAGCTTTTAAATTTTTTTTTAAATTTGAAAAGAGAAAATTAATGTTTTCTCTTTTTGTACGTATGTTGATGCCTTTTTTAGTCTTTTACTGACATTGTAGGATGTTTTCAGGAAATAACAGAGTGCATGTGCCTTATTATCTTTAACAAGAAATTCCATTCCTAATGTACCCAATTGATTTATGATCTTAGGTGATTGACAAAAATTTTACCTACAGTAATCCTCTAAAACCCTTCATCTGTTCTTCTTGGTTGTTGTTTAGATTCCATTGGCTTACATCGAGTAGAAAATATTAGCCATACGGAACCTGCTGTGAGCCTTCATTTGTACAGCCCACCTTTTGATACATGCCAAACCTTTGATCAAAGAACAGGATATAAAAACAAAGTCACCATGACATTCCATAGCAAATTTGGAATCAGGACTCCATTTGTAAGTATAATTTCTCTCCTTGGTTTAGTGTTTTCTGGGTTGGTAACATTACACTGTATTCATTGCTTTTTTTGTTCTAGATATTACTTAAATATTTTAAGTATTCTCAAATTGAAGTTTAAATGAACCTTAACTTAGGGGAAAGGCTCCTTATATCCTAATTCATTAACTTTGGAGACTATATTTTTAATTTATAAATAAATCTAAATTAGATGCAAAGATTTATTAAGTTCAAAAGTATGCTCATTTCTAAAGAAAATGTTTTCATTTATTAGAGAAATAAGAGTACAATATATTTGATATAACTTCAGCTGTGACTTAATATTAATAGGTCTAATTTGCTGGGACAACACAAATAACTTGCAGAGTTAACCTTTCCAAAGTTTGAGACCCTATTCCGATTATACAAATAAAGAAACATGCCTATTTTGATTGCCAAATTGCCTTTTCTTTCAGGAGTGATGCTATTCAGACCACAAATAAACAACAGTAGATGGTCATGTAGACTAGCATGTTCCCCTTGAGGAACAGGTGTTTCCACCTAAAAATAATAAGGCAACCAATGGTAATATGCTATGGCACTCTTCTACCTCTGGCGAAATAAGTTGGCTATTTAGGGGAATGTAAAGACTGAAAGTAATTCTCATGGACCTTACAAAAGTACAGCCTTTGAGAAAAGCCAGGGCAGAATTTTCTCAAGTGATTGCCCTGCTTTGTTTTCAGCATTTTGATTCCCAAGAGCTACTCTTAAGACAGGAACAAAACAATAGGGCTCCATTGCATAGCTGAGTTTCCATACACTGATAAGAAAGCAGAACTACTTAGAACAAGCTGAAATGTCTGGTATGAAGATTTTTACAGAGCTTTCTTTTTTTCCTTCTTACAGGCAACTTCAGGATCACTGGAGAACAACTAAGGAGCGAGCACCCGCCATTTGCTGTTCTGTCATACACTTTACAAAGCCAATACTTAGATCTCCTGTAAGGCAGATGCTAATTATAAGGCATTAAGGAAGCAAATAGTTTCCTAAGCAACTACAGAAGAAAAATCTCACTAAAGAAAAAAAAAAAGGCTTGTGATTTTAAAGGCCAAATCAAGTACTCTCCTGGTCTTATTCTCTAAATCAGGAGTGGGAACCTTTTTTCTGCCAAGGGCCATTTGGATATTTATAATATCATTCTCTGGCCATACAAATATCAACTTAAAAGTTAGATTGCTATATTTTGGTCAAACATTTAATTAATTCACCTCTAATGCCTTAGCATTAGACCAAATGATTTTGCGGGCCTTATACAACCCGCTGACCAATATTTCCCACCCCTGTCCTAAATCTATTGGAACCATACTGGGAATGTCAGTGAAGGGTTTTATAGCTTTTGGGAACACTTTGGTCTCTGAACTATAATTAGCAATATATAAAAACTACAGACATCAAATGCCTGCCTTGTGACTTGGATAACTAAATGTAGATGTCTTTAGTATACTTTGTATGTTCTTAATATTTGAAGAGAATTTTTGGAATCTGTGGATTTTATTTTTTCAATCATATTTTACAAATTCCTGTTCTATAAACAATAGGGTTTTGTAGATAGAGAAACTTAAAGTACTTTGACATTTGGTAATGAAATGAAGGGCAAAGGATTTAGAAAAGTAGATGTATCCAAACCCACAACAAACCAAAAACATAAACTCATGTCTGGTGTGTCCAGTGGTCATAGTCAAAGACTTTGTACTAGTCTCAAATTCTAATAAAACTGGATTTGAACACATTTTGAAGTTGTCTTCTGTTTAATTTCATAAAACTCATTGTTTCTTAGATTTGGGTAAACTACCAAAATCAGTGCAAAGTATGATTTTATGATGTAAGACTATGAGAGAACCCACAAAATGCATTAAAAAAATAGCTTACCTTGCCCTAGCCTGTTTGGCTTACTGATTAGAGCGCTGGCCCTCAAACTGAAGGGTCTCAAGTTCAATTCCTGGTCAAGGGCATGAACTTTGGTTGCAGGCTGGATCCCCGGCCTGGTCAGTGTGCATGCAGGAGGCAACCAATGGACGTGTCTCTCTCACAGTGATGTTTGTCTCTCTGTCTCTCCCCTGGGTGATGATAAATAAACAACAACAAAAAAGTAGCTTACATGTTAACTAATTGGCTAGAGATACTAACCTGAGGGGCTAAATGTAGACATAACCAAAATTTTGCCTAAAAATTGTGTGCGGGGGTCTATAAAGGCATACCTCGTTTTATTGTACTTGGCTTTATTGCACTTCACAGATGTTGCATCTTTTACAAATTGAATGCAAGACCCTCCACCAGCAAAAAGATTACTAGTACAACTCGCTTTATATCGGTAGTCTGGAACCAAACCTGTAATAAGGTATGCTTGTCTGATTAAATGTGAATTGTTTTCCAACATGTAAACACGGGATATCATAGCAGAAGAAGATGTGGATTTCTGCTTCTTGAAAATTTGAAGTATCTCAGAATCCTGGACCTGCACTGCATTTTCATTGCCATCAGTCAGCTAGGCTAGGGTCTGTCCCTTAAGTGGGGCCACTCCTCCAATCTGCAGCAGCATCCAACTTGCCTATTTCCCTTATGTGTGTTACCAGCTAAGCCCACATATGCATTTGAGTTTGCTACCCCTGCTTTAGGCAATTTTCTTAGGACTATCTGTCATAATCTTGGAATTTCTATTATCTCTAGAAAATAAAGTCCTTTGAAGATAGTTCTACACAGGTCATTGGTTGCAGTTATACCATCTCGGAATTATCTACCTCTTTACATCTTTTTTTGTTAATAAAATGAACCTCCTTATAAATTAGGCACTGTAATGGTTTTCTACTGCTGTTGCAACATCATCACAAACTTAGTGGCTTAAAGCAATACAAATTTTATTTTCCTACAGTTCTATAGCTCAGAAGTCAAGCAGCTTTACTGCACTAAAATCAAGACAGCAGGGCTGTTTCTTTCTGTAAGTTCTCGGTAGATAGGATCTGTTTTACTGGATTTTCCTTCTAGATACTGCTGTGGCTTGGTATCCCTTTCCTCTATCTTCAAAGCCAGCAAAGGCAGCCTTAATTCTTCTATCTCTTAGCACTCTGACCTATTTCTCTTGTACTTTGAAGGACTCAAGTGATTACTAATGTCTCCATCTCTAGGTTATAACCTTAGGGCTAAATCTATCTATAGAGTCTCTTTTGCCATGTAGTCATAGGCTCTGGGGATTAGGATGAGGACCTCTGTGAGGTCATTCTGCCTGCCACAGTTTGCCCACTTGCTCGAAATGAGCCATGCCTATCCCACATGCAAAGTAGGTTCACCCCATCCCAAAATCCCCAAAGTCTCATCCCATCACAATGTCAACTGAAATTCCAAAAATCTTATCTAAATTATATTTCATCATTTAAATTCAGTATGGGTAAGGCTTTATTATAATCCATCCTGAACACAATTATTCCCAATATTTATACCTGTTCAACATAATTTAAAAACCTGCCCAAAGTTATCCAGCCAAGAAATTATAGAGCTAGAATTTGATTTCAAGCCACTTTCCTTTAAAACTCATTCTCTTTATACTCAAGCCTTTCAGGGTAAGAGAAACCTAGGCCACTTCCAATTTTTGTTTTCTATTTTTAAACAACGATATTATGGTATATGTATATGTTTTGTATGTGTGGTATATTTAAATGTTTAATATCTTGCACTTTTAACACACGAATGTGGTCATACCCTATGTGTGACAAGTAATGGCCAAATCTGATTTGAGGATCCTTGTGCCTGAGGCTCAACCTAAATGGCTGCACTGGTGGTCCTGGCTGTCCTGGCCGTCCTGCCCGCCTCGACCTCACGACTGGCCCTGTTCTCTGCTGCCCATGACAATGTTCACAGAGAAGCAGGCATCCTTCTCCTCGAGGAGCTCAGCACACGCTTGGGTTGATGAAATGTATGCACACACGGCAAGGCAGTGAAGTCATCAAGGGCTCAAAGGGAGGATGTAGGAGGGAGAAGGAGCACTGAGGGCTGGAATCATGCTTGTTGCTAAAGGGGGATGGATGTAAAAGAAGAGGATAAGGAGCTGAGTCTAGAAGAGGAGGAATGAGCCCTGTGTGAGGAAACAGTGAAGGGTGGTGGTGAGCCCTGAGCACTCAGGACCTCCCATCGTACCTAGAGCTCAAGCTCCAGCACTTCTGTTCCCTCTGCCTGGCATGCCCTCCTCCAAGCTCTTTCCATGGATGGTTCTTCTTGCCCTTTCAATGTCAGCTCAGATGCCATCTCCCCAGAAAGGGATGCCCCAACCAATCTACCTGAACATAAAATCTCCAGGCTATCTTCATCCAATTTCACTGGCACACTTACGGTTATCTGAAAACTGTCATTTCCTTTTTCACATTCTACTAGTAGGATGCAAGCCCCATGGGGGTAGAAGCAAGTGTTTCATTTACTGCTATATCCTGAGCACTGAGACCATGTTTGACACAAAGGGGCTATTCAATGGATATTTATGAAATGAATGGAAAAACCCTCAATATCCTTACATAAGAGTTGTATTAACAAACCCTTGATGCTATGTTGTCTTCTACATACTACCAAAGTGTGTGCCATGTTATTTTTTTTAAGTATAGAAGTCTATACTTAAGTTTTCAGTCACAGACTTATTTTTTCTGTGGACTATGTCAGAAGCTTATCGTTTGGTATGGGTTCATTAATCATATACTTAGACAAACTAATTGATGATTTGGGCTTTTATGTATATTTCATAGGAAGATGCAGCATTAATTACCCCATTTAGCAATGGTGTTTAGCCTTTTTTTCTCTAACAATCTCCGAATGCTAAAGAACTTCTCTTCAGAAAGACTAGCATACAACAAACGTGCATACAATTTCAGAAGAGATTTCTGGACCTTCTGAAACCCATTAGGGGCCCCATTTAAAGAACCCTGTCATATGTGAGTCAAGATGTATGGGAAGTAGCTGGTGGCTATTTCACTTCATTTTCTGAAATAGGAGGGCATTAGCAAGCTGGGCAACTAGTTAATCTTTTAAATGTTACAACAGGGTTTCTAGGAAACACCAGAGACCATTGCTACTTTGTCCAAGGCACGTCCACACATTGCACAAGATCTGTTTTCTGTCTTTCTAAAAACATTTCAGGAAAAAAAAATGTTTCATAATATTATTTATCCACTTAGTAGATGCTTTTTAAAAAAAGTGTATGTGGAATAGTGACATAAACCAGATACAGAGGACAAATATTATATGATTCCACTTATACGAGGTACCTAGAATAGTCCAATTCATAGAGACAGAAAGTAGACTAGTGATTAATGGGTACAGACTTTCTTTTGAAGATGATTAAAATAATTTGGGTATAGATTGTTGTAATGGGTCCACCACATTGTGAATGTATTTGATACACCAGATTGTACATTTATGAATGGTTAAAATGATAAATATGTTATATTTATATATATATTCCCACCATAAAACGGTTATTTCCTTAAAAAAGGTACATGTGGGAGAAAGTGTACATATGATGTGTGGGTGTCTTGTGTTGGAATAGGAGAGACCTATCATAGAAAATGGAATAGGTAAGAAGGCATATGGTGAAAAGTTTCCTCTCCTCGGGCTCTCAGTTTCCCTCTCTAGAGGAAACCTGTATTACCAGTTTCTTGTGTTTTCTCATGTATCTTTCCCAGTGTTTATACAAAGTGTAGCATCCTAAACTTCATGCTTATAAGGAGACCTTTCCATATCAGAATACAAACAGTTTTTGCATTCTTTTGTACTGCTGGCTGTGTGGTATGAACGTACCATAGTTCGGTTCACCAGTCCTCTACTGATGGACTTTGATGTGATTTCCAACCTTTTCCAATTGCAAACAATTCTGCAATGAATAACCACATACATAATGTCATTTCACAAATGTCAGTTGATCATTTCTTTATTATGAAACCACCAAGATAACTAAGCCCCAGGAAATGAGGTAATGGGAGAAGGTCATGGCAAGCCATCCTGGCTGAAGAGTAACCCTTCTGTGCAGAATCTATCACCTGATGTCATCTCTATTTAAATTCAACCATTTCCACTCTGCTTATTACTTAATTAAGTGTGTTTGTGTGAGCCCTCCAAGGCTGCCAGAAGCTTAATACTCACAGAGATTAGTTATTACTTGTAAGAAAGCCCAGG